TACGAATTGAAAAAAATTTATGCGATTAATTAATTGTGACACGTGCTCAATTTGCGTCCGAAATTTTAATCTTGTTTTCTGTCAAAGCATACTCGGCTTTATCACGTGATTAATTATAGTTTTGGACTATTGTGAGCTCTTGATTGCCATGAGGTGATCAGTCATGTTTAAGATGTAGTAATTAATCTAAAAAATAATTTAAAGGTTACTCTGAATTTTATACCAATAAACTTTGAAGATAGAGGTAGTGTAGGTTTTTGAAAGGATGTAGATCACATGTTGATACAACTAACATCAACATATGCATCTGATGGTTTGCATCTTTTGTAATTTCTATCGCGTTGGACAAATGTGAGCATTATTGTGATTTAAATAAATTCTTGGTAAAATTTTTAAAAATTTTTTCCGTATGAACATACTGCAATGAACAATATAATTACGCCATAATATACATTGATAGATGAATTTGGCAGTTGTTTATGGTTGCATTTATTTTTTATGCTGATATTTTTACAGCAAGTTCTTTACATGAAATCGCCGACATTATATTGTTTTAAAAGATCGGGTGATAATTTTCTATAAAAAACTAGTGTATTTATTATAAAGTTTATCTTTAATTGAAACATCAGTTCAATTAAAGAGGGAGAAAATTTTCTTTATATGAAATTGTAACCTCCCTAGACAATCTCATGCGTTCAACTTTATCTCAGTGCAGTTATATAAAATCGCCCACTAGAATTAACAAATTAAACAGTTAGCAAATACCTTCGATTCCACGTAATCAAAACAAATTAATATTTAATTATTATAAGATTTAAATACTTTTGATTGGCTTGAATGAAAAAAAACAATGCTGTTAAAACCACCATCTAATCCATAAACTAAATTATCGTATTCTTCATCTGGTACAGAAAATTTGAGGTTTTCACTTCACAGATGAGGAGGTACATATGCAACCCGTTAATCCGAGAGAATGAAATAACGATATCGACTTTCTTTTACTTTGTTATTATCAGAAGCTAACCATTCTTTTATGGAAGTAAATAAAATCATTATACGATTATTATTATTGTTATTATTATTATAGTGTGCTTTTCTATTTTAAATAATTTTTTCCTGGGCTTTTTCATTGAAAAGAAAAGTGACTAATCATGATAAGCAAACAAGCGACTTTTCTGTTTTTAATTTGCGGGGTTTTTTTTGATTATCATGATCTGCATCAAACTTTTTTAGAAAATGACAAAACGTAAAAAAAAAGCACAACAAGAAGATTTCAAAGTAATTTTATATTAATAAATTTGATTAATAAAGCTATCATTTATATTATTATGCCTATTATAATAATTCATATACTTAACAATGCTAATGCCATTCTACCCTCCACCTCATTTACAAATATCAAAATATTCTAGAAACAAAAATTAAAAGTTGGTAAAGCCAAACCAAAGGCTAGCAATTTTACTAACACCTCATTTAAATCACGAGGTACTATTCTCTTCATCCCTTTACTGATAAAGTGTTGACCATAAACAAAATATTAAGTGATTAATTCATTTAATTCAATAATTGAATTTTTTACAGCAATATCATTACCAAATCAAAGTATCACTGAAGATAAGTCGAATCTAATAACTAATACAAGAAAACTATCATTAAATGAATTGCTAACGCAATTAAGACATTATAATTCTAGAACAAGAAAAGGTTTTTTGATGCCTATTTATTTATTAATTATATAATCACTTATGAAGATTATGTTTTATATAAATAAATTTCATTCATAGATGCAATTCAGGGTCTTGGGGATCTTTTTCATGCATATCCAAATATATTATCGCATTCGTTATCCATCTCAATAAATTCACTTGTTCGATTAATTTCCGATGAAGTATTATTGATATAGTATTATATGTTATGAGTTCTTTAATTATAAATACGTTAATAACAAGGACATCATTATTTATTTATTAGGATAGGATAGTGAGGAAAACATTAGTATCATTTTTTAATGAATTTATTCCTAAAGTGGAGAAAGTAAGCCATTGACCTTTTTAAATTTTTAACGTTAATTTTTAATGTTAATTTTTTTAGTTTCCAATTTTCTAGGCAGAATTAAGACCATTTATTCCACTTCTTATCTTATTCACATGTTCTGCAATGTCCAGTATACATGAAGATATACGTATAGATTCCATTAAATTTATGAATATATGGCTTACGTTAGCACCTGATATTGTAGTAGATCAATTCTGGGAAAAGGTATTATCATTATCTATCCTTGTTTGATTGAATGAACCATTGATTGGTTTTTTTTTAATGATTTGTAAAATTATTTTCATTTAAATAAAGGTTTTGCCTAATTATATAAGCCTTTTGAGTAACGATTCAAATTTGTCAAGTAATAATAACATAAATATGATGAATATCGCAAATTTTGGTGAGTTTAATGAATAATTTTTGGGTGCGGTTTATTGATTGATTGATTTATTGATTTATTGATCTTATTAATTATTTTCCATTTATCTTTTAAAAAAAGATTTTAGTTTATCAAAATCTTTATTTAATAATCATGGAAAATTTTGGTCTAATGAAGTTAGTGATAGTGATAATAATAGTGAAAACCATTCATTATGTATAATTATATGAATTATATGAAATGAATTAATTATTTAATCATTATAAAAATTTTCTTTGGTGGTCTTGTTAGATTAAAAATGAGATATTATCAAGTTTTTATAAATTATTAAAATTTGGACTATTCGATAACACACTTGATACAAATCAGTAAGTTTCTCTGTTTGTTTTGTTTTTATAAATAAGTATATACATATATTAATTTTTATTTATTTCATGCAAAGATATTGGTTTTTCAATAATTTTATTTCATCAGAACGTTCAAAAAATACTTTTTTAAAATCTGAATCAAACAATGGAATATCGACAGTAGTAGACTTAACCCAACAAAATAATAATCAAGATAATGATTTAGTTGTACAACCACCACCACATCCACTAACACAAACTTTACTTCCATATTTATATTCTTCTAATGAAAGTTGTAGTGGTGGTGGTAATCATTATCAAGATACTTCAACTGTTATAGGTCGTGTCAATGATTTAAAGGTACAACATATTTTATATATACAAATAGATTTTTAAAAAAATATATAAATAATATACTATCATGCATGATATTAATAATATTATTAATAACATATATTTTAGAATCAATTAAATATTCTACATTCAATACTTCTATCATTATGGTTAGACACTGTTCCATCAGTATTTAATTCAACTTCAACTATTAGTTATTCGTCGCCTGCACTCCAAATGTTACTTTTAGTATTAAAAACTATAAATTTATTATGGAAAGCTTATTTCATTAAAATGAATCAAGTATGTAAAATAAGAAAAAGAAAGAGATATTTATATTTATATGATTAGGAAAGAAAATTTTTATGAGATAAATAGCACACAATTATTAATATCGAGATCTTATATTCATCTATTCAATAAAATAATAGGATTCGACAGATAAACAATTTATTGATTTTAATCTAAAACAAATTCTTAAACATTTTTTGATTTATTTTCCATTTGGGTCAAAATCTTCTTTAAGAAATGATTCAAAGGTAACCTTATTCTTTATTACAGTAATAATAATAGTAGTACACTCTATTTCTTTCTCATTTTATCGTATTACTTTACCTCACCACCTTTTTCTCGTTTTATTATTTTTTTCGTTTTCTAATATTTAGGTTGAATCTATTTTGTTAGAAATGAACATAATCTTTTGCGAATTGACAACTTTTTTTTTATTAATATCAACAAGCAACAACAACAATAATCCTAAAAAAGGAAGAAAGCATAATAATAATAATAATAATATCGCAATTGTGACCAAAGATGGCGAATCTCATCCATCATGGATAAATCATATTATTAAATATATATTACAAATTTTAGGATCTGAGGTATGAAAAAAAAAACAATATTTGAAAATAAATATTGAGTTGAAAATTCTTGGAATTTGAAAATGTTTTGGCAACCAACGCACACATGCACACATATATATGTTTAATTTAACGCTGGGCTATATATCAGCAATCAATTAATAGAGCTAACCAATTGTCAATTATTTTTTTTATTATTAGCAGGAAGATGAAGATAGCGAAGAAGATGATTGCGATGATTATTCCATGAAATCCTCTTTTTCAACTTCGTCATTAATGATCATTTCCTCAATAAATCAAGAATTAAAAGCCGAACATTTAACATCTTTATTATCTACAATATGGTGTTTGCTTAATCATTTAGCTAATAACAGTGATAGCAATGATAACAAGGATAAAAATGATAAAAAAACAAAAATATTTCAAGCATTAATAAATTCTTTTGAAAGTTTCCATAACCAATCAACGATCAAAAGAATTTGTCTAGAATTCATCGCAAAGATTTTAATGGCAATTATTAATATAATTATTATAATGATTTTTTTATATTAATTATTAACTAATTTTTTTCTCCAATTTATTTATTATATAGATTCAAGATATTCCAGATTATAAAGGAACATTTCGTATTACTAAAAACTCATCTTTAAACCAAATAATTCATCTTTGGGCATTAAATTTACCAAAACTATTATGCGAATTGAGATTAAATAATCTTGAAATTACAAAGGTAAAAGATGTTTCTATCAAGTAGGGTATAACCCTTCCACAAGTATGAATTTTAATAAATGTTTTTTAATCATTGATCGTTTTAGAATATTCTTAATATTTTGTGCGAGTTTGCTAAACGGGGAGGTAAAGGAATATTTAATGAAGATGTAAGTAAATAAGAAAAAGGATGACATGGAAACAATTTTATCATTATCATCATCATTACCATTACCATTATCATTAAATTTTCTAATTTTAAATTTTTTATAAGATATTATTACAAATACAAACGGCATTTGTTCCGTTCTTATACATAAATTCTCCGCCACTATCATCCAATTCATCATCATCAAATAATTATGGGCCATTTATATCATTGCCGGAATCACTTCAACGTAAAACAATTGAATTTATTTTTCATTGTTCAAAAATTTCCGATGAAATAATTTACTCTTTAGAACAAATATTTATTAAACATTGTAATAAAGATATTGTTAGTTTAGCGATTAGAAATTATGCAAATTGTTTATTGAAAAAAAGTTCAAAATTAAATTTTTTGATTAATCAATTAGGAAAGTTAGTTATTTAATTAAATATATCCAAATATCCGTTTTCAAATATATATATGTCTTTTATTTTATTTTTTTCATAAATCGCAAGTGATAAAGCCATAGAGTGAGACTATTTTCGCTTAATCAACCCTCGCACCAAGTGAGTGTTAATAACTTATTCACAATCTAATATCATAAATTGATAATGCAATTTGCTCTTTAGACAATTCATATTTGTTGAAAATGAGTTAACATGATACTTGTGCTTATGAAAAAAAAGTTTTTTAACAAATCTTTGCACAACACCAAGTGCCAATAATAATACACAGTGAATCTCGATTTAGCGGATACTAATACTAGTTAAAAATCTCGGTTTTATGGATTCAAAGAACGGTACCTTAATAAAAACCTTCTCGATATGGCGGATATTTCAGTTTAACGGATTTTTCCTTAATTGCACAAACTATCTGCTAAATCGAGATTCACTGTGTAGTTTAGTTGTTAATCGCGTTTGTTGATTAAATAACTCTTTTACAAAAAATGACAGAATCAAATAAAAAAAGAAAACAAAAATCAAGAGCAAGAAGTTATTTCAGAGTAAGTGTTTATCATAAGAATGATGGTGGTGGTGGTGGTGGTTATCACTACTCGTCGTCACTCTAGTTGTATTATTAAGAAATCACATTTCTATTTTCATTCTATATTAAAAAAAAAATTGTAAAAAAGTTTATTATTTCAAAATATTGTTACAAGATAAGAAATAAAATAAAGATGAAATAAAAAGATAAATAAAAAGAAGATAATAAATTTATAGCAGAGATTAAATTAGTCATTCATTGCATCTTTTCCTTTACTATTGTTACTAGAATTTAATGTAT